CCTGGCAAGCTGAGGGGTGCTGACACACAGAGAGAGGAGGAGACTGGAAGTACCAGAAACCAGCAGCTGTAACCCCAAAAGGTCTCCTGACACTCTCCCTCTCAGTGTTTTAAGCACAGAACTCAACCTACAGCCACCACTTAGTCATCTTCTAGGTGGCTGATCCTCACCATGATTTTAGCAGAGAGGGTTGTTAAAAACCTGATACTCTGCCTGTCCAGCCTGGGCTTCTCTAGTTTGGACACAAGCATCCCACATCTTTAATTCGGTGTGCACACTGAGGCTTTTTGGATGGTGTTAGTTTCTGTTTTGGCCAGGTTGCAAATGTATTTGTGAGCAGGAGTATTTTAAATTCCCTGGTACTGCTCAGTGAGACAAAGGGAAGCTTTGTGGAATTGTCATGTATGCTGAGACGCTGCTTGGGCTGGGTCTGATTTTTGTAAAACCCCGCACAAAACCCCTCTCTGAGCTGTCTGTGAACACGCAGCAAGGTGAGAGATGTCCCAAGCAGAGTCTTAGAGCACGTGCTCCTTCTGTTGCCTATTGAGAGGCTTCATTTCAGATCCTGAGTGATGCTGGGAGTTGGGGATTTTTGCAAACCTCCCAGAAAAGCGGTGGCTCACAGACAAGGAAATCTTTAGAGTTAAACTGAGTGTATTTTTAATGTCTTACATGAGTTAACATTTCTTGTGGTAGCAAAATGTTCTTCATGTTGTGTTCATGGGAGGTTTTTTTCATGAAAATGTTGCTTCATTGACTCCTAGTGGATTATCAGCAGCTACAACAGGTATGTGTGACACCCCTCTGCAAGGTGTGGTAACTGCTGAGTCTGGCTCAAGGCTATTTTAAAGGAAAACACATGAAATTCTAAACTCTGCAGAAAGGTTTGCATGCCCTAATTTTTATTTCTCCTTCATAGAGTAGCTCCAGCTACTCTGAAGTGAAGAGTAGGTGGCAGTATCTCCACAAAAAGCTGTCCCATATTCAGGAATGAGTATCTGGATTTGATAAGCAGCAAGTGGAGTCCTGCTTTAGCAGTCATCTGCTTCAGCCAGGTAACATCCGTAAACTCCAGCTTTTTTATTTCAAACTGAAGATTAGTCTCTCTATTATTTATGTTAATATTGAACAGTAGCTTATTTATTCAAAACCCAGGATTAGTTACTCTAAGATTACAGAAGTTAGTACTGAACTTCTGCAATAAAGAAGTTTCATTGTTAACTGCTTCTCTCATTTTGCATATATCATATATTTGCGCTTCTTTTTTTTCCTGGTCTATTCTTTTCTTCAGGGCTTAGGTTTGTCCATGGAATTAATTTTATCAGTAGATGGTGGAAGCCCAGTACTTCTACTATGCAGACGTGCCTATTTTAAGAAAATAGTGTAGGAAATGGAAATTTTTGTAACAAATATAAGCCTGTTTTCTGACCTTTCTTGTTAATGCAAACTCTTTGCCTTAAGTGACAGAAATTGTTCAAATTTGGAAAACCCCCTCTCCAAACCACCTTGTTTTAGAATGTTACAGGGGAATATATTTACTTTTACTCTGTGGTTCCTCCCCTTTATTCGCTCATGATGCTTGGCCTTTTCCCCTCACGTTTCTCACACTTTCCCCCTCACTTTTCCTGCTATTTTCTCCCCTCAAAGTTCTCTTTTTCCCTTCATGCTTCTCAACCTATTCCCCTTAGGTTTGCTGCACTTATCATCTCACGATAATTCATGGGTGTCATTGTTCTGGGTAGGCGCCCACAATGGCATCCACATTATCTGTTTGCCCCTTAATTCTCACCCAGAGACTCTCAGCTGTACCACTGCCAGTTGTGAGCCCCATACATTCTGGATCTTCCATTGCACACAGTGCCATCCCTCCACCCCTCCTGCCCTGCCTTCCTTCCTGAAGAGCCTTCAACAGGACTCATCCAAAAAAGGTTTCACATACACCAGCAATGCCAGATCTCTGGGACTGGGCCAAACCGTGGAGCTCCTCTTGTTTGTTCCCCATGCTGTGTGCATTAAGTGTAGAAACATTTCAGGTGTGGAACATTGAAGCCGACACCTCGTGCAGCAGATTGAGGGGTGTGCAGCAGATGTTAGGTGTCCTGCAAGTCAGTATTGTGTTCATTGCACAGACCAAAAAGGGCCTGTGTCCATTTGATCTGTTTTGTGAGAAGTTCAGGTGCAAAATCCTACTGTTGTGAGCAAGGTGAGCATGGAGAAGGGCTTTATCTGCAGCAGCTCCCTGCAGGAATGGTCACTGGCACATTGTGCTGGACACCTGCATGCTTAATTTTTTCCACTTTCAAAACCCATTCTGAGCTTCCACTTGCTGTGCATGCCTGAGGACAGTAAGAGCCTTGCACAAGTACTTTAGGCACAGAGCAAACCTTTGAAACTTTTGGAAAAGCTCACGTAGCTCAGTGTGGAGGACCAGACTAAAGCGTGTTTTGCCTCAGACATTGCAAAAGGAAAGTTGTGATTAGAAGAAAAGGTCCTGCAGATGTGGAGCACCACAGCCCAGACAAAAATGGAGTCAAGCCTCATGTCCTCACACATGGAGTGTTCACCTCAACAGCAGCTCAGCTCCTTCCCCAGGGGACTGAGGCACGGGACACGGGTCAATTGGGCTCCCTGGGCCCTGTGAAGAGGGAGAGAGCTGCATGAGCCCCAAGCCACCTCTCCTCTCTTGTCAGGCAGCTCTGTCTGAGGGCTGCCCACAGCTGCAGGGGCAGCTCTCCCCAGCTGGAGCGTGGTGCTCCCCTGTACAGCTGCTCCTGAGCATCCTCTGTCTGGCAGCTCCTGAAGCACTGCTCAGACTTCCCCTCTAGGTTGCCCACCCACAGCTCCTTCAGCACCTGGGAACCTCAAAAAGAGGCTTTTACCCTTCCCTTCGTGGGGCCAAAGAGTGACCAAGGGATGCAGGACATGAAAATGCCCCCATCCACTCCCTGCCCAGGTTCTGCATAGAGGGCAGAGGTCATTTCCAGGATGATGTGTGCATGCCTGGAAACCTCTCCTGCCCTGCCAAGACAACTCACCCAAAAGTGGTAGTACAGGAGTGTCGGGATCGGCTGTCACTCGTCTCTGCCCCAACACAGGAAAAGGTGGTTCTGGGCAGGCCACGCTCTGAAGAAGGAGTCTGGAAACTTGCTTTTTCTGTCTTCAGTTGTGTTTATTGTTCCTTATCTACAAAGTTTTTCTGTCTGTCCAGCCGAGGTCTGACCAGCAAGGCAGCGAAAAGCACTCTCTCCCACCCACGGGGCAGTTGTCTCTTTTATAGTGAAAACTATGATATATATATTCAGACACCCACAGCCTGGGACAGCAGGATCCTGGCTAGGTCACGGGCCAGCTGCTGACAGCAAGGATGGGAGAGGCAAAAATGAGGGAGGTTTCGGACAGACACCCACAGCCTGGGACAGCAGGATCTGACCTTGCCACAAGGACATGGGCCAGCTGCTGACAGCAAGGATGGGGAGCAGGATGTCAGAGCTGAGTTGGTGCCACTTGCCCAGAGCCTGCCTTCTCCCGGTGTCCGTCTGTGCCGGGACAGCTCCCTGCTGCTGCTTCTGCTGGCACTGCCTCCAGCTGGCAAACAATTAGAGCTCAAGAGAAGCCGGTCTAGGCACTGAGGAGGGACGCTGCAGCAGGACTTCCTTCCAGGACGGACAATTCCTACTTTGCAGTGGAGAGCCCAGACAGAACTGAGGCCAAGGCTCATCTTCCTCCACCTGCTGCCAAGGCTTTGCCTCTTGCAGCCCTGCATGCTGCCTTTGCCCCAGGGGCACTTCAGCAGCTCCAAATTGCTCAGGCTTTGCTTGGCCAAGACCCCAGGTGTCTGCACAGCTGCTTTACAGCTGGTTCTTCCCCCTGCATTTCCTGGTGCCAGGGCTTGTTCCTCCCTGGGTGCAGGACTCAGCTCTGAATATCACAGCCCCTACTGATGGCTTGTGACACATGGTCCCCTCCCTCCATGCCCTTCCTGTAAGATCTACATTCAAAAATCTTTCTGTCAAGCATACATATCTGTGAGACTTTCTTGTCAAACTTTTATTCTTCCCAACACCTTCCTTAATAAAACAAAAATTAAACAAGTAAACAAGCTGGTTTACAGCCAGTTCCTTGTATTATGGTAAGTTTTCCTCTCTCTCAAACACTCACTGGTACCTCTTCCCCAGCAAAAGTCTTTCCTAGAACAAATCCTCCATTTCTAGGAGAAGCACTGTTAACTGGATGCACAAGGCATGGTCTTTTCCAGGACAGCCAAAGCTGCTACAAGCTTTCCATGTCCTGGATTGGTGATTTCCAGAACCAGCTCCTGGGCTCACTGGCTCCAAACTCAAGAAAACTCTATTTCAGGGAGGTCGTTCAGGTTGAACCCTGTGCCCCCTGAGCACAGGCAGTCCTGGTGGGCTGCTGGCCTAGGCGGTGTCTGATCCCTGCTCATCTCTCCTCCCTTTAGGGGTCTGGTCAGTAACACCAGACTTTCCTTCTGGGCATGATCATGGTGGTGAAAGAGAGAGCCCTCTTGGTGCACACCAGCCAAGCTGTGGGAATGTCTCTGGCACACCCAGCTTCCAATCCCCAGGATGCTGGAACTAAGCTGCTGAGAAAATGGAGTCAAGCCTCGTGTCTCCACACATGGGGAGTCCTCAACACTAAGCCAGCTCAAAAGTGGAAGAACAGATTTTGATGTGTGTTGTTTTGATTCTTATGGGTGTTTGGAGGTAAGTCTGAAGGTGCTGAAAGCAGAAATTCTGGAGGCAAGAGACAGCCTGGAGTGGTGACTGTGAGAGACTGGACTATCTACTCATGATCAGTGACTCAGAACCTTTGCAGCTGCATTGGACTCTGAGAGTCACAAGGTTTTGTTACTCATTCTGTTCTTGTTCTTTCTAGCCTCCTGATGATCTTTTTCTCTCTATTATTTTAGTATAGTTTTAAGGTAGTATTTTAATATAATATCTATCATAATATAATAAACCATCCCTCCGAAAACATAGTTAAACCTCACATCTCCAGTCATAGGGTGTTCACAGCTCTGGGCCACCAAGATGTGGGAGCCAGTGGCGCAGGCATTCCAGCTCAAAAACCCTGGCACCAAGATGTTCACCAAGGACTGCAACATCCTCCTCAAGCTTGTCATGGCTGGCAAGAAAACCAACTCCTTGGGCCAGAAACTGCCCCAAAAAGGCAACATGGAGATACTGTGTGGTGGACCCTCCATGTGAGCACCTCAGCAGCATGAAATGCTTCAACTCCCGCTCCTGCCTCAAGTCCAAGGGTTCCCTGGTGATCTCCTTCCTCAGGTGGGTGTGGTGGGGCTTTTTTGGGGGGTGAGACCCTCATCTGGTGTCCCCTGGCCATGCTTACATTCCGTTGTCCCCGCAGTTACTGCATTTATTACCATCTGAGCTTCTTCCTGCTGGTGAACGTCCCAGATTTTGTGTCCTTCAAGAGATCCATGGTGCTCAAGCTGACCCTGCACTGTCTGGTGTGCATAGGCTATGAGTAGACCTTCAGGGGTCTCCAGGGGTGGTTTTGAGGGGGAAAAACCCTTTTTCTGGCAACCCAAGAAAAGTGGGAAGTGTTGCTCCTTGGGGACATCCCCAAAGGAATTGTCAGCTGGGAATTGGCCAATTCCCACTTGGTCAGTTGGTCCTCCAAAGGAGGATCAACTCCTTGCGTGGCTTTGGGGACAAACCTTCCAGGCTGATAAGAGGCAAATCCTGCAAGGGTTCTTATCTTGCTAAGTGCCCTCCTTTACACAACTCCCAGTTCTCCTGGAAGGTACCTGGGCATTCCCACTGAGCCTGACCTCTTTCTACACCCATTGCACTTTGTGTTTCACAGGCTTCTTCCCCCATCCCCAACAGATGATGACCATCACTTTGACCAACAAAAGTCTAAGCTGCAACAGTCAAGTCCCATCACAAGATCTAGGAGAGGTGATACCTTTTTCCGTCTTCATCTTTTCTGTTTCTCATAATGTTTCTTTCTTTCTTTCTTTCTTACACTTCATTATGTAATTTTATTATATTGTCACATTGCTATACAACTATAGAGCATAATAACTGGAATGGCTAAACACCTGCTTTCCACTGCAACCAAACTGTTCTGAAATAAATCCTACATCTATTTCTATTTCTATTTCTATTTCTATTTCTATTTATATTTATATTTATATTTATATTTATATTTATATTTATATTTATATTTATATTTATTTACAAACACCAATCATTCATTCATTCATTCATTCACTCACTCATTCATTCACTTATTCATTCATTATCAACTCACTCTTAGCCGATCCAAGGGATTATTAACAAGAACTTGGATTACTCTCTCCTCCATGGATGTGGGTTCTAACAGCAGCTGACTGCCAAGCTGCCACCTTAGCTCTGCAGAGAAGATGTTGCTTTGCATCAGCCAGGACAAACCTGCCCCACAATAGACTGGAGGAAGCTGTGACAAAGAAGGATCTGAGCAAAAGCCCTCTCCAGCTGACAGCCACTCCTCCCTACCTTTAATTTGTAGGTATTTTGTACTTGGATTAAGCACATGCCTGTGGCATTCGAGAAACAACCTGTCAGGTTTGTGTCAGGATTCATCACGGAGGGGTGAGGAAGGAACCCCAAAGGCTCAAGACACAGGCTGTCAGGAGGAGGCACAGCAATGGCTTGATCTCCTCAGAAATTCCCCACCCTTGTCCCAGTGTTTGTGAGGCTGACATACATCTGTTCCTTGGACTCCACTACAGTGTCTCCCCCATCTCCTCTGAGGATTTCTGGCAGAGAGAGGGATGCATCCAGACAGGTTCTTGCCTTTTGGTCTTTGTCTGCTTGGCCTGCAGGCACACTTGGCTCTTCCAAACACAGGTCAAGATGACAAAAGCATATGCAGCCGTGTGACTTCTTGGAATACAAGAACTCATAAAGTAAAACTCACCCAAGCCCCTCCCCAGCTGTCTTCTTGATGTTGAGATTTCTGGTATCCCAGCTCCATGGCTATGACAACCATCCACCCCTCCTCATATCAGTGGATGTGCCTGGGGGTGCTGGTGGTTCCTCCAGACTGCCCTTCTCCTCCCTGAAGATCATCCAATTTTCCCATCATAAACTCCACCAGCACCTTCACCTATGCAGAGAAAAGCTTTGGTCTCAGCCCAGGTGCTGACAGCGTGCCAAGCAGCCTTTGCCACCTCTCCCGAGCCTTTTCATCTGCACAGAAAGCTTTGGCTGTGGACAGGTCTTGCAAACTTCTGTTGGAGAGAGGGGACCAGCGTCCATTTGTGGAGACAAAGGAGACCCTGTGGAGCTTGAGTGGCCTTTATGGAGCTTGAGATCATTGGGAAGGGAGGGAAGGGAAGAAGGGAGGGAGGAAGGGAGGAAGGGAGAAAATGTCCCTGTAAAATGAGAATTTCCTGAAACTGAGGCTGGCAGGTGACAGCATGCAGTACCAGCCAGACAGAACACACATTCCTTGATGCCCTTAATGCCCATGTGTAGCCAGCTGCAAAATTTCTTATCCAAAGGCTGCAGCCACACAAATGTCTCAGAGGGATCTGTCTCTGCTCCATTCCTGTCTGCCTTTCCAGGGCTGCTGTGGTGAGGTGACCTTGGCCAGCTGCCAGGTGCTCAGCAAGCCGCCCTCTCACTCCCCCTCCTCCTTCAGCCAGGAGAAAATGAGATTAGAAGCTCACAGGTCAAGATAAGGACAAGGAGATTACTCACCAGTTACTATCATGGGCAAAACATGTGGAAGATTAATTCAATTTATTGCCAGTTAATAGCAGAGGAGGACAAAAGACCTTCCCCAATGCCACCAAGAACTGCTCCCATGGGAATCCTTTCCCTGAGGTGCCATTCCTTTCCACAGCTCCACTGTGGGTTCCCAGGGGCCAGAACCCTTCCAGGGGCTGTGATTTCCTTCAGGACACATTTCCCTGCTCCTGCCTGGGCTCTTCCTGGAGCTGCAGGGGTATCTCTGTTCCCTTCCATGGGCTGCAGGGGCCCGGGGGGCTGAGCTGCCCCAGGGGAATCTGAGTTCCAGCAGCCACATCAGCTCCTGCCCCTCCTCCTGTGCTGCCCTGGCTCTCTGTTTTTCTCACATTTGTCCCACTCCTGTCTCTCACAGCTGCTCTGCAGTGGTTTTTACCCTCTCTCTCACAAGTTGTCACAGAGCTCAGCTTTTCCCCACAGCTGCTCCATCCTGGAGCTGTGTGGCACGGGGCAACCCCCGGTCTCACCTCACAGGAGCCACCCCTGCAGCCCACTCACTACCAAAACCATCTGCCTTTTGGGCCTCTAGTGTTTGCTGAGCACACGTGGCTTTATACTTCATCGCCAGTGATCTCCCAGTAAAATACAGAAATGGAGGCTCAAGCTAAAATTTATGCTATACAGATTGTGTGAGCAAAGTTTCCTTACACATTATTTCCCCCTTTTCAGTTTTCCCTAACAGTGCTCTACTAAATTCTTACATTTACCCCCGTGCAAGGGAGGCTGAATGGAGGGAGGATTGAAGGCCAGCAAGAAGGTCAGTGTTCAATTCTAGTGTTCAGTTTAGTCCAATTCCTAAATAAGTGAGTCAATGCAGTGCTGGCCAAGATAAAGCCTCTATCTAACTGGTCAAATGGGTCACAAAAAAACAATTAATGCTCATAATTACCTTACACTGCTGTATTGAGCCAACTGCATGCTAAGCCATGTTAAGGGATGTTACCTTTACTGAGGAATTTTGTCTCTTTCACTTAATCTGTAAAACTACTACAGGGTTTTAAATTAAATACAAAATTCAGCCTCCTTGCCTTTGTTTTAATGTGTTCAGGATGTTATTTTTTTTTTCCTTTTACACTTAAACTTGTGTATTAGCTGAGGCCACAGTATCTTTGGTGAAAGTGAGTGGGGGAATGAAAATGATGGGGAAATGCATCTTTATTTTAACAGTATCAGATGAAGGAAATGGATCAAGACTCTAAACCACGTCAGGCATTCTTGACTCCCAGACCAGAGTTTATGAGAATAATGTGTGCAGCTGTGACCTCTGAAAGCACCTCCCGAATCCTGCAGGGATTTACAGTGCTGCTGAGGTTATTTCCCTGAGGAAATGCAAGTTTGGCTAAGCTCCTTCTGGGTTTCTAACTCTGTTGTAAATTACTTTCATACAGAACCTAAAATACAGCATTGAGCCTGGGAACCTCTTTTTCAGCCAAGACCTTTTCAAGACAGACAATTTTTTTAAATTATGCACAGATTTGGAGCTTTTCCTTGCGAGAGGCCTCCCTGCTGTGTGACAAATGTGTGCTTGCTCAGCTGCAGGTAATGCCACACCACCCTCAGCAGAGTGCAGGCTTTGCATTTCACCCTCTCCAGACCAAGGTTTTTTCTGACCACTTTTGGCAGGCTGCCAGTTTTCCATGTAGTTCTGAAATTGAAAACCTGGACATTGTGCTCTCTGGTCCAAGTTATCCATCCTAAAAGGAAACGGCTTTGCATTTCACCCTCTCCAGACCAAGGTTTTTTCTGACCACTTTTGGCCGGCTGCCACTTTTCCATGTAGTTCTGAAATTGAAAACATGGACATTATGCTCTCTGGTCCAAGTTATCCATCATAAAAGCTTTTTTCTTCTTCTTCTTCTTCTTTTTTTCTTTTTTTTTAAAAACCTGTCCTTTGTGAAGCATTTGGGTAGACTGGGTCCAAAAGCTAAATTTTTTTTTTTCTTTTTTTTTTTTAACCCTGTCTTTTGTGAAGCATTTGGGTAGACTGGGTCTTCTGGGTGCTGTGAATGATACTAACTGGAGAACAGGAAGGATAGGTGAGATAAAGGTCTAAATCTCTTATTTCAGGATATGATGCTTTTTTCTGTGTTAAACCTCTTGAGTCTCTGTAGGCCAGGAGTGGTGGTAATTCAGACTCATGCAGGTGCTCACTCTGGAAGCAGCTGACCTAAAAAAACTGCTAGAAGTGTTTTGCAAAAACCTGTTTGTGTCTGCAACCAGTGCTTCTGACAATGGTGTGGGAGTCTGCAACAATAAATAAACAAATAAGTAACTTTATTCAGATGTTTTTTTTTCTCCTCACATGCTGCACCCAGGCAGAGAAGTTACCAAATTACATGAAAATTGTGACTGGTATCTCCTATGCTTACAAAAAACAAACAAAAAACAAAACAAAACAAAAAAGCAATAAAACAAACAAACAAAAAAAAAAAACCACAAATATACATATATACATATCAGTGTAAGAAGATTGAAAAGTGCCACAAAGGCATCCAAACTTCAGCTCTGTCAGTAGTCCTATTAATAACAGAAGTGAGTGATATCAAAAACGCTTTGGATTTATATATTTTCTCTAAAGATGAAATCATTCTGAAAAATGCAGAAGTGGGAGCTTATTTTGCCAGACATTCACACATTCACTGTACTGAGAAAATGAGCACCAGCCCAGCATTTCTGTTTACATGTTTTGTTCACTCACTGTTGGGAACTTTGTGTGTTTGTTATTCCTAAACTTCAAGTGTGCTATTCTAACCTGAGACTG